TAATAATAATAATAATAATAATAATAATAATAATAATAATAATAATCCTTTATTTGTACCCCGCTACCACCTCCCGAAGGACTCGATGCGGCTTACAAGAGGCCGAGCCCAAATACAACAGTTAAAACAGCAGCAACAACAACACAATAACTCAAAAAACAAAGCAATAACATTAAACAACACCCAATGACGCAATTAAAAACAATGGCCGGGCCAAGTGTAATAATTAAAATTAAAATTAAAAATGCTGGGCATGACAAGGTGGGGTATTTGGAGGGGGATGGGCATGCAGATATCCTGGATGTTTTTATTGTACTTATATTTTAATGTATAATGATGATGCACACTGGAACAACCACGTTTTTAAGCTCCTCCTAAAGATTGCTAGCGACGGGGCCTGCCTGATGTCCTTAGGGAGAGAGTTCCAGAGTTGAGGGGCCACCACCGAGAAAGCCCTATCCCTCGTCCCCACCAATTGCGCTTGCGACGCCGGTGGGATCGTAAGCAGGGCCTCTCCAGATGAACGAAGAGATTGTGTGGGTTCGTACACTGAGATGCGGTCACGCAGGTAGGTGGGTCCCAAACCGTTTAGGGCTTTGTAGGTAAGCACCTGCACCTTGAATTGGGACCGGAAAATGAATGGTATATGATCTGGAATATAAAGTAATGTGAAAGTGTGGGTTTCTAATATATGTAATTTCTTTATGCTTGTGGGTAAACAGTATTTCTTGTGGACAATTTCAACAGAAAGGAAGAAACCATGAAAATGAACAAAATCTGGCTACCAGTATTAAAAACTCAAAAATTACAACAGCAAAACAACAGAGAGTAAACAATCAGGCACATCAAATCACTCTCAACAAAATATTCCCCCAGGCATTTCCAAGCCATTAAATGCTAATCAAGGTGGTCAGTTGAAACATTCACAACCTAGCTCCAGCAGACAAAAGTCCTTTGTCCCACCCTGGTCATTCCACAGATATATAAACCCATTTTCCTACTTCCAACAGACCTCACTACCTCTGAGGATGCTTGCCATAGATGCAGGCGAAACGTCAGGAGAAAATGCCTCTAGAACATGGCCATATAGCCCGGAAAGACCTACAACAACCCAGTGATTCCGGCCATGAAAGCCTTCGACAATACAGTATTTCTTGTTGTTTCTTTGTCAGTGTTGATGTGGAGATTGTCTGGTTTGCCTATTATGGAATATGCAACATATAATTGTCCTTCTTTGGGGGTCCCTTTCAAATCTAGGATACTATATCTCTGTGTGTGTGAATCATATATACCTATCTATATCTATGGCTGGATGGCTCAGGAGGGCTTTGATTACGTTTTCTTGCCCTGGTGAAGGCAGTTGGACTGGATGGCCTTAAGTGTGGGGGTTCTGTGTGGGAGGTTTGGCCCAGTTGTGCCATTGGTGGGGTTCAGTATGCTCTTTGATTGTAGGTGAACTATAAATCCCAGTAACTACAACTCCCAAATGTCAAGGCAGGGACGGCTCAACCCATTACGCAAAGTAAGCCTTTGCAGTATAGTTGATTTTGCCCAGGGGCGCTCTTGAGGCGCTTGGGGGAAAATAGACCTTGACATATGCGAGTTGTAGTTACTGGGATGTATAGTTCACCTACAATCAAAGAGCATTCTGAACTCCACCAATGATGGAATGAACCAAATATGGCACACAGAACTCCCACGACAAACAGAAAATATATATCAATGATTGGTTGGGGGGGGGGCAAACTACTGTTTGCTTACCATTGAAAATTACCTAGGGCCGCCTCTGTGTAAAGTGCTTCTCATATTTGGGCATATTTGGGTAAATAATGTGCCAGTAAGGCCTTCACGTGGACCACCATGAGAATTGGGGGGGGGGGTTGAAGCTTATTATTTATTTTTAAAATGGCACAACTCCACCAGCTCATAGAAAAAGTGTGGGTGACCGAGAAAATCCCAGCAGATTTCAAGGATGCCACCATCATCACCCTCTTCAAAAAGGAGGAAAGGACAAACTGCGGAAACTATTGAGGTATCTCCCTTCTAACCTCCGCTGGGAAATCCTCGCAAGAGTCCTTGCAAACTGCCTTCTACCCCTCTCAGAAGACACCCTCCCAGAATCCCAGAACGGCTTCTGCCCCTCCAGAGGAACCGTGGACATGATCTTCACTGCACGACAGCTCCAAGAAAAATGCAGAGAACAAAATCAGCCTCTGTACATGGCATTCATTGACCTTGCAAAGGCATTCGACACAGTGAATCGCTGCACTCTCTGGACCATCCTCCAAAAAATCGGGTGCCCTGACAAATTTGTGAACATCCTGCGGCTCCTCCATGATGACATGATGGCAACAGTCCTGGACAGCAATGGCTCCCAAAGTGACCCATTTAAGGTGGAATCAGGTGTCAAACAGGGATGTGTTATTGCCCCAATTTTATTCTCCATCTTCATCGCTATGATACTTCACCTTGTTGAGGGGAAGCTTCCCACCAGAGTGGAAATCATCTATCGGACAGATGGCAAGCAAGACTGAAAGCCAAAACCAAGGTTACAACAACATCTGTTATAGAACTCCAGTATGCTGATGACAATGTCATCTGTGCACATTCATAAGAAGATCTACAAACCACTCTAAACACCTTCGCAGAAGCATACGAGAAGCTCGGTCTGTCATTGAACATCGAGAAAACCAAAGTGCTGTTCCAGCAGACCAGCCAACCCCTCTCCAATGCCAGTGATACAGCTTAATGGTGTAACATTAGAAAATGTTGATCATTTCCGCTACCGTGGCAGCCACCTCTCCACCAAAGTCAACATCGACACCGAAATACAACACCGCCTGAGCTCTGCGAGTGCAGCATTTTTCCGAATGAAGCAGAGAGTGTTTGAGGTCCGGGACATCAGTAGGGATACCAACAGAGGTGGCCCTAGGTAATTTTCATAATCCTTATGAAGGATGAGGGGACATTCCAAACCATACTTGCATGTATGGTTCCAAACCATACTTGCTCCCCCCCCCCCCCAAACCAATCACTGATATATATTTTCTGTTCATCGTGGGAGTTCTATGTGCCATATTTGGTTCAATTCCATCACTGGTGGAATTCAGAATGCTCTTTGATTGTAGGTGAACTATACATCCCAGTAACTACAACTCGCATATGTCAAGGTCTATTTTCCCCCAAGAGAGCCTCAAGAGCGCCCCTGAGCAGAATCAACTATACTGCAAATGCTTACTTTGCATAATGGGTTGAGCTGCCCCTGGATACCAAGATGCTTGTTTATAAAGCTATTGTCCTCCCAAACCTGCTATATGCCTGCGAAACGTGGACTGTCTACAGATGTCACATGCAACTCCTGGAACGATTCCATCAGCGCTGCCTCGGAAAATCCTGCAAATTTCTTGGGAAGACAGGTGGACAAATGGCAGCATGCTGGAAGAAGCAAAGACCACCAGCATTGAAGCGATGGTCCTCTGCCATCAACTCCGCTAGGAGCCCCTGGTGGTGCAGTGCGCTAAACCCCTGTGCCGGCAGGACTGAAGACCGACAGGTCGCAGGTTCGAATCCGAGGAGAGGTGGATGAGCTCCCTCTATCAGCCCCAGCTCCTCATGCAGGAATATGAGAGAAGCCTCCCACAAGGATGATAAAAACATCAAATCATCCAGGCAGAATTGCAGATGGCCAATTCTCTCACAACAGAAGCGACTTGACCAAAAAAAAACTCCGCTGGACCGGCCACGTTGTCCGGATACCCGACCACCGTCTCCCAAAGCAGTTGCTCTACTCCGAACTCAAGAACGGAAAATGGAATTTGGTGGGCAGGAAAAGAGATTTAAAGATGGGATCAAAGCCAACCTTAAAAACTCTGGCATAGACACTGAGAACTGGGAAGCCCTGGCCCTTGAGCGCTCCAGCTGGAGGTCAGCTGTGACCAGCTGTGCTGCAGAATTTGAAGAGGCATGAATGGAGGGTGAAAGAGAGAAATGTGCCAAGAGGAAGGCATGTCAAACAAACTCTAACAGAGACCACCTTCCACCTGGAAACCAATGCTCTCACTGCGGGAGAAGATGCAGGTCAAGAATAGGGCTCCACAGTCCACCTACGAACCCACCCCCAGGAAACTAAACTTGGAGGACCATCATCCTGGGATTACCAGGGATTGCCTAAGTACAGGGGCGGTTCACCCATTACGCAAAGTAAGCATTTGCAGTATAGTTGATTTTGCCCAGGGGTGCTCTTGGGGGAAAATAGACCTTGACATATGCGAGTTGTAGTTACTGGGGTGTATAGTTCACCTACAATGAAAGAGCATTCTGAACTCCACCAATGATGGAACTGAACCAAATATGGCACACAGGACTTCGACGAACAGAAAATATATATCAGTGATTGGTTGGGGGGGGGGGGGCAAAATACTATTTGCTTACCATTGAAAATAACCTAGGGCCACCTCTGCTCCACAGCCACCTACGAACCCACCCCCAGGACCCTGAACTTGGAGGACCATCATCCTCGGACTACGAGGGATCGCCTAAGTAAGTAAAAAAACCTGAAAGAATCCCACACCTTGTGTGATTGTGGAGCAGAACAGGCAACCCCGCATCTGTCTGCTTGTCCACTACGCCCTGCCTCATGCACAGAAGAAGAATTGTCGGAGACTACAGACAATGCCGTTGCTGTTGCCCGTTTTTGGTCCAAAGATATTTAGCCACCTGCTCTCCTTCTATTTTTATCGGTTTTGTACTAATTTCTGCAATGTTTTCGATAGGAAATACATCAATGGCATCGGATGGGTCGCCTTCAAGATGATCGCCAAGGGGAATCGCGGCCACTTCCCCTTCCAAACTCATGTAACCCGACTTAACATTCTTGCTGGGCTTAGAGGCGGGAGAGGGGAAGAGAAGCTTGGGAGAAAGGGGCCGAGGGGAGTCCTGCCAAGGGCGCCGCGGGACACGGGGGAGGGAAAAGGGCCGCCCGCCCGCCGCTCTCTCCTTACCGGCTGCTTGGCGTGGACTTGCCGGTAGCGCTCTTCCTCCGGAGGGAGCGGGTGCAGGGCCAACATGCTCCTCCGGCGCTGTTTTTCCCCGGCCGGCGAGGCTCCTTCTCCGCCTGCCTTGGCCAAGCGCGCCCCGTCACACGCGAGAGCGAGCTGGAGTGGCCCCACGTCGAGCAGGCTCCTTCCGAGCGGGGGCGGCTCGGCATTTTGTCCGCGCCGGCAATCCACACCCCATCCCCTCCCCGCCGCCCCCAGCACCATCACGAACCCAATGAGAGAGCCACGCTTCGCCCCGTGCCTTCGCCCACCCACCCCTCCTTCACCAACACGGGTGGAAAGAGCCAAAAGCTCCCGAGGATGCGGGACAGAGATCCAGCAATGCAAAGGCATCCATCCCTCTTTGAGATTTTCTGCCCGTCAAGGGGGTTCTGTGTAGAATCCTCTCGTTGGTGGGGTTCTGAATGCTCTTTGATTGTAGGTGGACTATAAATCCCAGGAACTATATCTCGCAAATGTCAGGGTCTATTCTCCCTAAACTCTACCAGTGTTCATATTTGGGCATATTGAGTATTTGTGTAGAGTTTGGTCCAGATCCATAATTATTTGAGCCTACAGTGCTCTCTGGATGTAAGTGAACTACAACTCCCAAACCCAAGGTAATGCCTACCAAACCCTTCCAATGTTTTCTGTTGGTTATGGGAGTTCTGTGTGCCAAGTTTAGTTCAATTCCATCATTGGTGGAGTTCAGAATGCTCTTTGATTGCAGGTGGACTATAAATCCCAGCAACTATATCTCGCAAATATCAGAGTCTATTCTCCCCAAATTCTACCAGTGTACTCATTTGGGCATATTGAGTATCTATTCCAAGTTTGGTCCAGATCCATCATTGTCTGAGTCCACAGTGCTCTCTGGATGTAGATGAACTACAACTCCCAAACTCAAGATCAATGCCCACCAAACCTTTTCAGTATTTTCTCTTGCTTATGGGAGTTCTGTGTGCCAAGTTTGGTTCAATTCCATCATTGGTGGAGTACAGAATGCTCTTTGAATGCAGGTGGACTATAAATCCCAGCAACTACAACTCCCAAATGTCAGGGTCTATTCTCCTCAAACTCTTCCAGTGTACACATTTGGGCATATTGAGTATCTGTGCCAAGTTTGGTCCAGATCCATCATTGTTTGAGTCCACAGTGCTCTCTGGATGTAGGTGAACTACAACTCCAAAACTCAAGGTCAATGCTCACCAAACCCTTCCAGTATTTTCTGTTGGTCATTGGAGTTCTGTGTGCCAAGTTTGGTTCAATTCCATCATTGGTGGAGATCAGAAACTCTTTGATTGTAGGTGGACTATAAAACCCAGCAACTACAACTCCCAAATATCAAGGTCTATTCTCCCCAAACTCTACCAATGTTCACATTTGGGCATATTGAGTATTCCAAGTTTGGTCAGGAGAGAATGCCTCTAGAACATGGCCATATAGCCCAAAAAAGCCTACAACAACCCAGAGATCCATCATTGTTTGAGTCCACACTGCTCTCTGGATGTAGGTGAACTACAACTCCAAAACTCAAGGTCAGTGCCCATCAGATCTTGGTTATGGGAGTTCTGTGTGCCAAGCCTGGTTCAATTCCATCATTGGTGGAGTTCAGAATGCTCTTTGATTGCAGGTGGACTATAGATCCCAGCAACTACAACTCCCAAATGTCAGGATCTATTTTCCCCAAACTCCACCAGTGTTCCCATTTGGGCATATTGAGGATTCATGCCAAGTTTAGTCCAGATCCATCATTGTTTGAGTCCATGGTTCTCTCTGGAAACCACTCTCTGGTTTCAGAAAAGCAGAAGCACCACTTATTAGATGCCCAGTTCAGCCCCAGGTGACCAGTGGTTAAATACCACCATCCCTTCGTTGCTACTTCATAACCACTCTGAGTCCTCTTCGGGTGAGAAGGGCAGCATATAAATGTCGTAAATAAATAAAAAATAAATAAATAAACTGTCATTGTGCTACTGTTATGAATCGTCATGTAAAATATCTGATATACAGGATGTTTTCATTCTCTGGACCAAATTGAGCACAAATATCCAATACGCCATTTGAATGTTGGTGGGATTGGGGCAGGGGGGAGTTGATTTTGTTATTTGGGAGTTGTAGTTGCTGGGATTTATAGTCAACCTGCAATCACAGAGCATTCTGAACCCCACCAATGATGGAATTGAACCAAACTTGGCACACAGAACTCCCTTGACCAATAGAAAATACTGGAAGTGTCTGGTTGGCATTGACCTTGCATTTGGGAGTTGTAGTTTACCTACATCTAGAGAACACTGTGGACTCAAACAATAACGAATCTGGACTAAACTCAATATGCTCAAATATGAACACTGGTGGAGTTCAGGGAAAATAGATCTTGACATTTGGGAGTTGTAGTTGCTGGGATTTATAGTTCACCTATAAATTCAGAACCCCATAAATGATAGAATTGGGCCAAACTTCCCACACAATACCCCCATGACTAAATGGAAATACTGTGTTTTCTGATGGCCTTTGGTGACCCTTCTGATACCCCCTCGTGACCTCCCAAGGGGTCCCAACCCCCAGGTTGAGAAACACTTAGTTAAACCCTTGTGCTGGCGGGACTGAAGACCGACAGGCTGGAGGTTCGAATCTGGGAGAGCGCAGATGAGCTCCCTCTTTCAGCTCCAGCTCCCCATGCAGGGACATGAGAGAAGCCTCCCACATCCGGGCGTCTCCTGGGCAACAGCCTTGCAGACGACCAATTCTCTCACACCAGAAGCGACTTGCAGTTTCTCAAGTCGCTCCAGACATGGAAAACAGCTGCTATTGCTTCCCCTAAAAGAGGAGCCAGTTCTTCCTGGTTCACCTTCTTCAGTTTTCCCTTTTCTCCTGAGGCAAAAGCGTTAAATTCTACTTATTGGTGCATATTACTTTATTATTAGTGTGTATTATTATTATTATTATTATTATTATTATTATTATTATTATTATTGCCTACTTATTAGGCCTAAAGAACCACTGCTAATAAGAAGGCAGCAGGAGACGATGGGATCCTAGACAAACTGTTAAAAAACTTGAAAGAGGATGCTGTCAAGGTGCTGCATGCCATATGCCAGCAAAAATATGGAAAACACAAGAATGGCCATGAGACTGGAAAAAATCCACTTATATCCCCATACCAAAAAAGGGAAATGTTAAAGACTGCTCAAACTTTCGTACAGTGGCCCTTATTTCTCATGCCAGTAAGGTAATGCTCAAGATCCTGCAAGGAAGACTCCAGCAATACATGGAGCAAGAGTTGCCAGATGTACAAGCTGGGTTTCGAAAAGGCAGAGAAATGAGAGACCAAATTGCCAATATATGCTGGATAATGGAGAAAGGCAGGGAGTTTCAGAAAAACATCTATTTCTGCATTATTGACTATTCTAAAGTGTGGATCATAATAAATTGTGGCAAGTTCTTGGTGGTATGGGCATACCAAATCACCTTGTCTCTCTCCTGAGGAATCTGTATAAGGACCAAGTAGCAACAGTAAGAAATGACCATGGAACAACAGACTGGTTCAAGACTGGGAAAGGCATATGGCAGGGTTGTATACTCTTACCCAACCTATTCCAAGAAGAACACATCACATGACGTGCAAGGCTTGACAAATCCAAGGTTGGAGTTAGAATTGCCAGACAAAACATGAACAACTTTAAATATGCAGATGATACCACTTTGATGGCTGAAAGTGAGGAGGAGCTGAGGAGCCTTTTAACCAAGGTGAAAAAAGAAAGAGCAAAATCTGGGCTGCATTAAACATCCAAAAAACCAAGATTATGGCAACCAGACTGATTGATAACTGGCAAATAAAGGGGAAAAACGTGGAGGCAGTGACAGACTTTGTATTTCTAGGCACAAAGATTACTGCAGACACAGACTACAGCCAGGAAATCAGAAGATGTTTACTTCCTGGGAGGAGAGCAATGACCAATCTTGATAAAATAGTGAAGGGTAGAGACATCACACTGGCAATGAAGATCCGCATAGTCAAAGCAATGGTATTCCCTGTAGTAACCTATGGATGTGAGAGCTGGACCATAAGGAAGGCTGAGCGAAGGAAGATAGATGCTTTTGAACTGTGGTTGGAGGAAAGTGCTGAGAGTGTCTTGGACCGCCAGAAGATCCAACCAGTCCATACTTCAGGAAATAAAGCCCGACTGTTCATTAGAGGGAAGAATACTAGAGGCCACATCATGAGAAGACAGGAAAGCTTAGAGAAGACAATGATGTTGGGGGAAATGGAAGGAAAAAAGGAAGAGGGGCCGCCTGGATGGATGGTATCCTTGAAGTGACTGGCTTGACTCTGAAGGAGCTGGGGGTGGTAACTGCAGACAGGGAGCTCTGGCATGGGTTGGTCCATGAGGTCACGAAGAGTCAGAAACAACTGAACAAATAAATAAAAATTAGTGCACGTCGAAAACTCAACTAAATGTCCTGTTCCTCATTCAGCAACAGAGGTGTCTTTCACACAGCTGAATAAAATCCCACATTATCTGCTTTGAACTGAAATATATGGCAGTGTGGACTCAAATAACCCAGTTCAAAGCAGATATTGTGGGATTTTCTGCCTTGATATTCAGGGTTATATGGCTGTGTGGAAAGGCCCCAGAGTTCTTTTCTTTATAATGAAATCAGAAGTGATGGGACGTGTAAAAGAGGCTCCTTCTACAATGCCATTATTATTATTATTATTATTATTATTATTATTATTATTATTATTATTATTATTATTATTATTTGTAACCCAACCTATCTCCCGAGGGGACTCAATGGTTTCCAACAAAATGGCAACATGGCAAACTTTCGATGCCAAAGACAAACAACACATCAAATCTAAAACGGTAGATAAAACTAAACAAACAACCAAAAAGTAAACCTAAATAAACATAATATAATGCATCACAATAACTCAGGGCCCTTCCACACAGCCATATAGCCCAGAATATCAAGGCAGAAAATCTCACAATATCTGCTTTGAACTTGGGGCCCTTCCATACAGTTGAATAAAATCCACATTTTCTGCTTTGAACTGGAATATATGGCAGTGTGGACTCAGATAACCCAGTTCAAAACAGATATGTGGATTATCTGTCTTGATAGTCTGGGTTATATGGCTGTGTGGAAGGGCCCTGTGTTATCTTAGGGCTCTTCCAGAC